ACAGTCAATTCTTGTTTTGTAAAAGAGCAGAAGTGTTGGCGTCAATACTATAAAACACTACTTCAAAAGGCTGTGGCTGGTTTCCATAGCAACCATTTTGAGTAAGACTCTAGAAATTTAATTTCTCTTCTTGAGTGCAATAGCACACAATCGATCTTTCTTCACCATATTTAAACAAACTTTTTGGTCCATATTGAGGGTACCATACCACCTTAAGCTTTGGGTGGTAACATCTTTGCCAGGCTCTCCCTCCCTTAACGGGAAGGCAGAGGAGAGAGAGCCTGGGAGCGATGTTTGTTTGGCTAGTAGGGTAGGCGAAGAACTAAGAGAGACTTACTAGAGAGGGGGAAAGCCAAATTGATGCAAGAGAGAACTGCCCCATAGTTCACTAATGGCCACAGTACTAACCTGCAACAAGAGAAAATGATCAATTCTGACACAAATCAACGGGGAGAAAAGCCTGGTTTTCAGCGGAAAACCTCTTGATAATCGAGAACGGGTATTTTCCTTCAAAACTGTAGTAGGAAGATTAAAAGTAAGTATTCGCTTTTGACAATATGTGAAGGAGCAAACTAATTATCTTGTATTCTTATTTATATGATTCTCAGTGGTATTTGTTCGATTGCTGGTCAGTCAAGCTGATTTGGACTGGCTGAATCAAGGTTTCTTTCAGTTTTCATCCCGGTGAAGTAAGCCAGTTGTCATATTAACGAGAAAAGCTGAGGTGGCCGTTAGTGGAAGTTCGATCGTATTTTAAATTCCAGACGACTAAAGACGACTTTAATTGAACACCGAAAAGATTTTACAATGGCCAACTCTCTACGACGGCCCCTTTTTTTGGTCCCGGCGGACAGTGAATACATTCACTCTTGTTTTAACGGCCACTTCTCCATAACGGCAACAGCCACCAAAACGCGTCCCAACTGCCAAAAGAACCTCCCGACAACGGCCAGTTTATAATCAATAGCTGACGAATAGTGTATTTAAAATTGTAAAAGGTCACGAAACTTGATCATATCTCGCGTCGTTGGTCTCTCTTTTTTTAATCTTTTGATCGAGTTACGTATTTATATGCTAAAATAAGCAGTTTAAAAAAGAAAAAAGAAAAAAGGATGTTACACCTCTGAAAAAAAAAACAGGTGTCACATTACACCCCTACCTCCACATATCGGCCACCTCGCTCTCTGCATGCAACGGCCACTTTCCTCTGTCCCCAAGGTGGCCGTTGTGGAGAGGTTCGACTTTCCTTCCCGGCGACCTCTTTTTCATGTACACTCTTGAAAACGAGGATGAGTAAACACGCCCATTGTTTCTGTGCATCCTTTCGGCCGGCGCAGGAAACTCTGTGAAATTCTGACTTTTCGAACCCCTAAAAGAGAAACAAGAATTTGTGTAAAAAATCGCCTACTTCGAGAAATCGGAGGCAAAGTTAGCGTTGGTATTACTAATTCTCTCTTTTTTCACACAAAAAGTCTGACTGTTGAGACGTTTTAAAACATTTCGCTTTTTGCTCTCAGGTGCAATCGAATCTCTATAATACAAGAGTCTATGACTTGCCACAATCCTTTTGCAAAGCTAAATCTAAGTGAAAGAAAGACGTAAATTGGGAATGGTTGCTAAATAGGCCTATTTTGATGAAGTTAACATATGTAGTCCCATATAATTTAGATATCTCCATTCTAATTACTATTTTGCAGAAGGCAATATCGCGTTACAAGATCAGTGCTTCTAGAATAATAATCAAACAACGTTCACCATTTAACTAAACTTTTCTCTTAATTAGGCGCGTCTATTCGCGATATTTTAGAAAGCCTTTTAAATGACAGTTTTATCTTCGCTGTCCTATTCTTACAGTGCAGTAGCTAGTGAAGATGAAGTTCTTACACTTTTAATTTATATTATAATCCCGCTTTTTTGGGCGGAGCCTCCTCATGTAGTCCACTTACGGGGCAGCACCACAGCGCCAATAATATGCCACCAGCTAATCCCAAGGTAAAGTACGGATTAAAACGAGTTTACAATACAGGGTTATAATCGGGAGAAAACAAGAGCACTTAAATCAATGAAATGTTTTTCTAATTTCCCGACGTATAGTTTTAGACATATAACCCTCTACTGTTACCTTAACGAAAATCGTAGCTGGTCTTTTTTTCAGTCGTTTAGCCAAAACGATATTCCTGCTCCTCCAAATCAACACGTAGAACTTTTTCCTCATGGCGAAAGGTCATTGCGGTGACGTTTCACTACACTTCAGACATTTTGATGCGACTAGACCTCCCCAACGGAAACATTGCTTAAGTGTCCCTGAAAAAATAACAGGGCACATTAAATGGCTCTTATTCTAAAAGCTGTACAAGTTTTTCTTTACTGGGCCGGAGCTTAAATGATAGTCTAGAGTGCTCTCAGTGAACCTGTTTAACCTGTTTAACCCATCTTATTACAAAGAGGAAGTTTGTTCATTGTCAGTTATTTACAAACACTTGGCTAATAGTTTGATCTTGTAGCTTATGTCGCGAGTGGTTTACTTAAGGTACAAAGTGGTTTGGCTTGGCTTCTCTTTGCAATTGTATTATCTGTCTCAGTATCTAAAGAATGAAGGTTTTCTTTTAATTTGCTCTTGCGCCATGCTGTTTTTGGCTGTGATCCGGTGCGTCTGTTTAATATCTGATATTTTCCCACAGCAAAAATTAAGCACGGAGCTATCTGCTTGTTGCAAACACGAGCCAAGTTATTATCCAAACATTCATGTTGGCATCTGGGGGGCTCCCAGAAAAATTGGGGAGGGAGTGTGCGGCGAGCTTCTCGAAACCCCTCTTTCCTTACCCTAATTCAGACTCTGTCCAAAATTCGATGCTGTATTTGGGAGTCCTCAGACCTTACCCCTCTAAAAACATATCGAATTTAGCGCCAGAGTGCACAAACCATACCCTATTTCTGATCAGAATGGCTCAAAGAGCATACTCTTTAGCCCCGCACATACCTATCTAGCTCATACAAGGCAGTAACAACACCCCCTCCTTCCCTCCCCCCCGCCCTGGGTTGAACAGGTTTTCATTTCAATCTGTTCTTTTCACAAAGGTGTCAACTTAAGGTGGTGTCTTAAAAATTATTGTTGCGTCTTCAAGCTTCTTCAGTTAACGCGCAATAAATATAAGCCCTTACATTTTTTTTCTAACCATTAACAGAATATATAAGCGATAAACTTTGTGTCAGGCCAAAGTTAAAGGTAATTAGTTTAAAAGGCCCTTAAGGACAGTTCTGCGTGCATTACCATTTCAAAATATTGACACGATTATGGTAAGTTATTACTTGGTACGTTTTTCCTTTCTGACCTAACTTATAATAGTTCTTCCTGATGTTCGTGGCTTTTTATGCACTGAGGACTCACTGAGCATAAGTTCCTCTGTAAAAACTACTTCATTGTGTAAATTTGTCAACGAACGTGAGTAGGAATAAGAAAGAGTGGCTCGGTTCATTAGGGTCTGACGTCGCGGAAATTGAGGCACTTGAATTCTGTTTACCCCCACAGGATCCCAATTCAGGCCTGTTATGATCGAAAATTCCGACTGGTCAGTTTAGAGATAAAAGGACTTCAAAGAAAGGGTAAAAACAGCGAGTTTTCAGTCTCGGTCACGTTTGTTTTACAGCAAGTCTTCAGTCTATGAGAGTAGCGCAAAATGGCGTGTTGATGACTTTTTAAAATGTTTTTTTTTTAAAGATAAATTCATTCACAGAATAAGATAATTTCAGTATGAAATTTCTGATACTTAAAAGTGCTCTCCCTAGCCTATAGAACAGGTAGTTTAGCGGGGTAGAATGCAAACGCCAAACGCCAGGGCGAGCGCGGAACGTTCGTGCATCTCGCTTGGCGCTTTGCCCGCTAAACCACCTGTTTTGTAAAGCTATGCTTCCCGAATGTTTCTCAAGGAGAAAACTAGTGGTATATTTCTTATTGTCAATTCTATTAAATGTCTCATTGTATTGAAACAACCAAGTTTCAAAGACCAAAAGTTCTGAATTTACCATTACTTCGAAACATCTCACAGTTGACAGAGTTGACAGTTTTAGAGTATGCACGCAGTGCATGTCTATGTTCTGAAAAATCGCCAAATCAACTAGCCAGCGGTTAACCAAGTAAGAGTGCTTCTTCCGTCACGGGAAGAAGCCTCCATTTTATTTTTCACAAATTTTGCAGAGGACTTTTAAACGTTTTTCAGTACTAAATTAGTCTTAAATTAGGTTAATTTGAGTCTTGAGGATGGGAGTTCCAGCATTCTTTCGCTGGCTTTCGAAGAAATATCCATCGATCGTGGTACACTGTGTTGAGGAGAAGGTGAGTTTGTAAAACTGGGCTATCCACGTGTTTTCGATCGTTTAAATGGGTTTAAGCCGGGAATTTTATTTTTCGCTCTGTCTATTCTGTACTTGATCTCCGTCTATGTTCGTAATTATAGAAATATTTAGGTAAGGAATATTAAGGTTAGCGGCTAGCGAATCTCTGCTTGTTGTGCAAAATGAATTTATGTCATTAGTGACATTAGTGACATAAGTTTAATCAAGATCCACCATCATGGAACTTCAAACAAGCCATGATCTTGGCGATCATAGTGGTATACGCGCTACATTCGGCCCAGTTTTATAATCAACTACCAGAAAGACTGGCATACTATACAACTCAAATAGTTTGGTAGTCATAAAGAAGTGCAGCAAGTAAACAAACAAGTTTAGTCAACCTATGCCAACCCCGCTTCATGTATATACATGTAAGGTACAAAAATGCACTCAGTCAACGATTACCTCAAGTTGAGAAGGGAGTGAATTCAATGAACTGGCTCTTGATCCATCAAAGCAGGTTTCCAGCAGATGAGGAAAGTATACATAGCCAGACATACAAATTATAGCTATCCTATCAAACTCAGTAACTTACGTGTAGTTTTGACCAGAACCCCCTGGGTGGTAATGGGCCAGTCGGTATACGTAATATCAACATGCATCATAATCCAATGATATACACTCGTGGCACAAGCAAAGTTAACTGCCCTTTGCAAGGAAATTTATTTTCCTTGGCAAATGTGTTTTAAAACAATTGGTTCATGCTTTAAGCCGTGCATCAAGTTTGGAGGGCACCAAATAAGCATAAGAGTTGCTCAAGTTGTTCAAGGCTTGAGTTGTTCGAAGCTAGCATAGCTCTTGGGTTCTCTCCAAACTTCTCAGGTGTATCCTAACTCCATGATGAACAACTAAAAGCGTGAATTAATTAAGTATTGTTGCATGTTGAGCCATCCTGTGTTTATGGATCAAATGTCACAGCTGGTCAAATTGTACTCTGTTTAGCCTGAACACAAATGTATAATGGTACTCTGTTTAGTCTGGAACATGCTCGAGTTAGCTTCAATAGCCTGTACAATGCTTTAGTCAGCCTGAATAATGCTTGGGTTATTGTGTCTATTATATATGGTACTGGTAATCAAGGATGGGGGAGCCGGGGGGTGGGGCTGGGGGACTTTACTCCCCCCCCTAATTTCAAGCAAAAAATACATACAGTACAGTGTAAATAATCATTTTACAAATATCTTCAGACCCCCTACAAGTGAGCACTTCTGGTGCTCACTTGTAAGCCCCCCCTCCCCCACTCCCCATTCAAAATAGGCTCTGCCATCCCTGGTAATGCAACATACTAATTATAAGATTCACTGTCTCATGGCTCATTAACTCATTTCACTGATACATACCATTACCGTAATCTCAAAAATTATTTATTGGAAAATGCTGCATGTACTTAAGTTCTCATACATTGTTTTGAACTACAATATGACCTGCGATAGTCAACTGTATTCAAGGTCATTTACTGTAACCTGCTTTAATATTGGCTGCCATGTTCTTCCTCTAGGAATTGCATTGTATAACACAAATTTTCTTTTTTTCATGATTCTAGGGCCGTGAAGTTGATGGTGTTCGAGCTCCTATAGATACAAGTTTACCAAACCCCAATGACTATGAATTTGACAATCTGTACCTGGACATGAATGGAATCATTCATCCTTGTTGCCATCCAGAAAACAAGTAATCTACAATCACATTTAACATGTCATTCATTATTCTTAAACGAGCTACATCATGGTTTGCTCATCTTGAAAAGTTTAGCCTACATTTTTCAAGTTTGTCGTTTTTAATCCGTGTTAATCTTCTCCATCCTTAACCATCCTTGTTCCTCTATGGTTTATTATTATCTCTTTGATGTTTTTCTTTCTTAGTAAACTACTTATTTTAGGTTTTCTTCAATTTAAAGGTAATTTTATAAGGGACTAAAACAACTCAAAATACTGTGACTGAGCTCCAGATGCTATTTCTTCCCATTTATTTTCAGACCAGCTCCTAAGAATGAAGATGAAATGATGGTAGCTATCTTTGAATACATCGACAGGTAATTAAATTTTGAGAGTAAACTTTTTATAGTTTGAATTTCTATTTGACTGGAAAACCAAACCTCCTATCCTAATAAACCTATAAGCTGTGATTTCTGTTGCACCTTATAAATAAAGGACCTTACAAAGTTACCAAATTAGCTCAGATGGACCTCTTTCTCAATTTTCTTTTTTTTTCTTCAGAATTTTCTCAATTGTGAGACCAAGAAAATTACTTTATATGGCTATTGATGGAGTGGTAAGCTAAGACAGGCTTTGTTTTTGTGTGATCATATAAGCTCTTAATTTTCTTTTAAGGTGATTTTATGTATTGTTTGTATATATTTAGTTATTTGCTTCTTTTTCAGGCACCAAGGGCAAAAATGAACCAGCAAAGATCTCGTCGTTTCAGGGCATCTAAAGAAACAAAGTAGGTAGATGAATGGTCTAGGTAACAAATCCTTGGAAGACATGATGTGTGTAGTTCTAGACAGCCATGTTTATTACAACTAACATATGGCCTGGTTACCTATGCAAACCGCCCAGGTTACATACATATGTGACAGTCTAGGCTTGTTTAAATTAGGGCCTGTTTACAAGGAGAGAAGGTTACCCTAGAAGGTGGGTTACCCTAGCACTCACACATTTCCTCTTTATTTCTTCATCATGTTTACAAGGCAGCTAGGGTTACCCGGGTAGGCAGGTTACACTATCTGCATGCTAGGGTTACCCTGGCAGGAGGGTTACCCTGGCAGGAGGGTTAACTTTTTCCCTTGTAAACACTCCAGGTAGGGTTAACCTGCCTACCCGGGTTAACTTTCTAATTGTTTCCAGACTCTTTGAGTGTAACAGCACATTAAGCTTTCCTGGGTTGTAAGGTTACCCTACCTGTAAAATTTTTCTTGTAAACTTGGGCTATCTTTTGCCCACCAGCTAGGGTTAACCCGCTTGCTAGGGTAACCCTCCCTCCTTGTAAACAGGCCCTTAATGTATGATTTGTTCATAGCAGCTCTTTGTCATCATCTCTAAACTGTAACTTCTTCTTTTATCTCTTCTCTACGACAATTACATGTATTGTAAATAAAACATATCTAGGTTGAAGGCTAGCTCGAAAAACCTAACAGTTCACTTAGCCTTTAGTCTCATTGAAACAAGATTACACTTACGTATATGACATATATTAAATACATTCAAAATTAATGTAATAATATTTGTATTCATATAGAGAAAAGTAAAGATGTTGTCATTGTTATTATTAACTACTGGCTTTGGCAAATTGAAGAATTTCATAGAGGTACAGGTACTGATATTGTTTGTGTGATAATATTAGGGAAAAAGCTGAGGAAATTGCAAGGATACGGAGTGAATTGAAGGAAAAAGGTTTGTTGATATCTGACTGTACATACTGTGGTTTTTGGACTGTGGTACATGAGCATACTCACCGGAGTCATTGTTTGTTCACTCGTTCACTCTCTTTCTTCTCACTTGACTCTCTTGTCATTGCTTGCATGATCATTTCCTTGCTTGTTCACCCACTTTCTCGCTCGCCTCCCTCATCATTAAATAACGAGGAGGGTAAGTGATCTGTTACATGTATAGACTCAGTCCTCTGTTTGTCCTCTTATTACCCAGAAACACCAGCAACTATTTTGTCTTGTCGTATGTGTCATTTCATGAATATCTCTTCAGGGACTCTCCTATGCTGTTTAATTCCTCTCATCTAGAGGTTTGTAAGGGCCTTGCTTCTCTAGCTTTTGGGATAACTTCAGCGGTACATTTGTGTGCCTTGGTTATTTAATAAGGTTTATTAAATAAGTAGATATGGTAGATATATACATGTACATGAATTTTCCTTTTTTGTGGTCTGTTAGGAGCTGCTTTACCTCCAGAAAAAGAAAAAACAGAACACTTTGACAGTAACTGTATCACACCGGTAAGTGGAAGGTTGCAAGGAGACCGCCTTAAGTGACGGTCAGTCCATTTTTTGCTTGGCGCTATAAAGGAGGATGAGACCTCAACAGTTTCAGTTTTGAGAAAGACTTCCCTTCTTTAGATCCACAACTGGTTCGTGTGGCATAAAGCAATAAGGAGTATTGCTACTCTAGTGTTTCCTCTTCTTAGCATCTTGTCAGATTGCCCTCACAGATCATTGGCACCCATTTATACTCCAGGCTTCAGTGATTGTAAAGTGCCTAGCTCCAAAACACAATGACCATACCAGTGCTCAAATGCCTTGATCTGGAATCCAGTGCGCCAACCATAAGGCCAGTAAAATGTCAGGGTTGTCAAATGTAGACAGCTCCTAGCAAAAATCATCATCTGCTTCTGTCATGAACTCATCCAGCTACTCAGCATTGGACTATTTGTCTGACTCTTTAGAAAAAGATGGCAAAATTAACCTCCTACAACAAGAAAACCATTTTTTCTCCAGCTTCTCAGGGGTCCGGAGTCCTAAATCCTGGAATCTGATTGGCTAATCGCATCTGCTCTAGCGGTCCAGATTTTCACATCCAGACTGCGAGTATGGACCGCTCCAAAATTTCCAACTTCGACAACTTTTTGTTGCAAGCTTTTTGTGGCACTGTGAAACAATGTAAAATGTAAATGTACTCAAAACTTTGTGACTGTGCTCAATAATACAGTATGTCTTTAAATGTGCATTTGAAAGAAAGAGCTTAGTACAGTCATGCACTTCTAAGTAGTTATGTTTTTTTCTTTCCATCAGGGTACAGAATTCATGGCAAACCTTTCCATATGTTTGAGGTACTACATTGCCGACAGACTAAACAATGATCCTGGATGGAAAAATATTAAAGTAGGTTCATGGAAAAATGAAGTTTTCAAATGCCTCTTGGAGGGTTAAGTTTTGTGAAAAAGTTGGCAGCATTTGGAATTATTTACGCAACAGACTCACTTCTACAAAATATGACTACGATCGTTTGCTTCGGTAACTCACCTTCAATATTTTTAACTGTAAACCCTGTAGACATGCTAAATCATGCGTGCCAATTTTTTAAAATCAGGGTAGTTTTCCACATGCTTTATCTCTGAAATGAAGTAGGTGACCCCCAATTATTTTTGCATTTCTGACACAAGTAGCTCATTATATGACTGCAGTAAAAATTTTAACAAAATCTATCGACTGGAAAAGTTTCACGCAAACGTCCCCAATACAGACACCTCATTAATGTAGAAACTCTGTGGCTCCTACATGTACCTGTGTGGTGTTTGTATAGACTGGGTTCATCTTTGATAATTTTCTTCTTACTCAGGTGATTTTGTCAGATGCCAATGTCCCTGGAGAAGGTGAACACAAGATTATGGATTATATCAGAAAGCAAAGAGGTGAGACAGGCAACACAGCTGTATTTACAAGTTTTTGGATCTGCATGATGCTTTCAACATTGGCCAAATTGATACTACAGATGAATTATCCATCTATGACAGATAACAATTATTCGTCTAGGTTTAAATTTGGTGCAAAGACGAATTATGGAGCAAAATTTGTCAGCATGTCTTTTAGACATGCTGACAGACAAGAAACTTTTAGACATACTGACAGAAGAATAATCTGTGTAAGACAGATAATTTGTCTTTAAATTTATACCTAGACGAATTATCTGTCTGAGACGGGTAATTCGTGGAGGTATAAATTTGGTGCAAAGTTGAATTTTGGAGCAAAATTTGTCTCCAGCTGATGTGTCTGTCAGCAGGTCTTGAAGATGTGCTGACAACAGATAAATATTTCATCTATGACAGATCATGTGAAAAGTGTGTTGGTTACATGTGTAACTCAAAGTCTTTTCTTGAACTCTGACTTCAAAAAGTTTTGGATGTATCCTTCCACCATTTCCTTTTTCTCATCTGATCTCTATGTATTGTTTTCCTATCCTGGACCAGATTGGCAAGAGAAAAGGGTAAAATGTATAAAATTTATAGTAAGTTATTTTACAACTGAGGCATACACTTGACAGAGGATATCCTTCCTTGATATACGTACTTTGGTATGTCAAATTCTCTTCTTCTTGCTTTGTTTGTCAACAATCCTGGGAGTGCCACCATAGACAGATTATCCATCTGACAGATAATCCATCTAGATGGATAACTGGTCTCTAGTATAAATTCGGCCATTGCTGGTCCTAGCAGTAAGCTGGGGTGTATCACATTAGAACTTAGGAAATCGTCAAGCTCACCACAAGTCTCTTTGTAGCTCAGTAGTAAGAGCACCCATTAAGAATCTGGAACTTTGTGGGTTTGAATTCCACAACAACTCAGATTTTTTTGTCCTGCTTTCTTGACATGCTGAACATCGATCTTTCACATTTTTTAAAATAATAATGTGTTGGGGAAGTGCCATGTGAGGACCAGTGCCACATGATCACTAGATCACGTGCTAATCAATAATGTTAAATTGCATTGTCTGTCAAGTCTGATGGATGTACCAGTCAACATAGGAAATGTTGCATCTTGGAAATGTAGAATGCAGATCTTGAGCTTGGCAGTGCTTAGAACCACCATGACAGCTTACTATGCACTTGTTGTCCATAAACCCTGTTTCATTACATGCATATTTACTTGATTCTGGAACCGCAAAGTTACCTACATGTAATAGATTTTCACTTCCTTGCACAAGTACAGTTGCCTTACATTATAATGGGATACACAAGGTCATTATACTTTACTTTAAATGACCAACAAAATTATTTTTGAAAATCCTTTAAATGCCTTTTTTTGAGAAAGTCAGTGTGGTGTTGATCATTGTTGTTTGTTGTTTTGGTTTCAGCGAGTCCTCATCATGACCCTAACACAAAGCACTGTTTGAATGGAGCTGATGGTATGTACAAATAAACATCAAATTTCTCCTTACAAAATCAGTTTATTGTCAGTCAGACAGGTGGTGAGAATAAGGAAATCGTCACTCACAAGGAAATAATTATTGCTGTGGAGCCGCGGTGACCTCATGGTTAGTGCGCTTGCCTCCAGATCAAGTGGTTCCAGCATCAAGTCCTGGCTGGGGACATTGTGTTGAGTTCTTGGGCAAGACAGTTCACTCTCACAGTGCCTCTCTCCACCCAGGTGTACAAATGGGTACTGGCAAATTTAATGCTGGGGTTAACCCTGAGATGGGCTAGCATCCCATCCAGGGGGGAGTAAAAATATTCATAGTAGCTTCAAGCTACAGGAACTGGGATAAGCTTCAGCCTGATGGGCCAGTTGGTTCTTATGTATGACAATTACGAACAAGGAAATATTTCACAATATTTCACAATATTTCTAATTCTGTTGTTTGTTTTGTTCCAGCTGACTTGATTATGCTTGGTAAGTGCATGTAAATGTGATGTAAATGTGATGTTGTGATGTAAATAATATTACACAGCATAAAATTATTGTGTTTAGCCTTTTAAACCATCCATCCTCATAAGCCCCTGTCCACACCAATCTAGGGACAAACTGTAAAGTGCATCTTTGGAGCTTGTTGAAAATACTTTTCAGAGTTTTGAAATTTGAAACTGCCTGCTCAGGTGGTGTAGTGTGAACGGCAAAAAGGTAGCTTTTTGAAAACTTTGACATTGCAAAGTCAAATTTAGCATGGGCTCGAATGAAGTATGCATACCCTACCATCCATTTCTAGGGTTGGGGAGGGGGGGGGGAATGTTTAGACTAGATAGAAAGACAAACCAAAGAACACAGTTGACTTTCAAATGTGTGCGGGTTAGTGTGAATGAAAAAAATTTTATTTTATTTTCTGGACTAAACTTCACACACTTTTCAAATTTATGCAGATCAAAATGTAAAGAAAATTATCAATATTTTAATGATAATCATTAATGCAGTCATCTTTGCAAGTGAAGTAATTGATTGTTGTCTTTGATGTTTGCATCTTGTTTGCTTCAACAGGACTTGCAACTCACGAGCTTCATTTCACAATAATCAGAGAAGAGTTTAAGCCAAACCAGAAGAGACCATGTGAGATATGTGGACAGATAGGTATGAACTAATGGTGTATGCTGTATTTGTATAAAGGGTGCACTGATCAAGAAGTGAAGATTGACTTTAACCTGCAGAGTGGACATACATTTACTCCTTTCAAGTTTAATGTTCAAGGACTGAGTGGCACATCTAAAAAGTTATTATCATCGTCAAGTTACTCATCATCAGTCAGTGTATAGAAAACCACTGAGGATGAATTCTTGGTAGACCATAGTGAATCAAGAAGTGTAGCTTCTTGGCAACTGAAAATTTTAATTTTTCTGTGCCTTTACAGGACATATGATGGATGAATGTATGGGACTTCCCAAAGACAAACAGGGAGAGGTGAACATCTTTGTAATTTGCTGTGTTGTATTTTCAGGAGTGCTGCTGCCCATTGTAACCTGAGAAATTGAAATTAACACGACTGATACTTCTTGTCTTGTGCTTTGATCTTCCATGTCTGGCAAGAGAGACCACAAAACATATTTAACTGCTTTTAGCAGTGTTTTTATGTGGTAATTATGTAGGCTGACTTAAAAATTGTTTGACTTGTTGTGCACAGTTCGATGAGTTATCCGCTCCTGTGGCTCAAGATGTAGAGTTTATTTTTATCAGGCTGAATGTCTTACGAGAGGTGAGATTAAACAATGCTATTTCTAACAAGAAATTAATATTATTAATATTAATTAGTAAAGGTAATCGTATGAATGCAAGTGCAACTAAGTATTTCCACTGGGGGTGATATTTGAAAAGTCTCTCAAAAATCCACGAGCCTATAGGCGAGTGCAATTTGAAAGCATTTTCAAATATCATGAGAAGTGTAAATCCTTAAATTTATTGCTTGAGCTTTCATTTGATTACTCAGTTATTATATGATTGAGAAAATTGCAAACATACACAGATTAATTTTCACTGCAATGCAAATTGAGAATTAACAATGAATTGGCCTGCTCTTAGGCAATCACAGTGAAGTCATTTTCTCAGTCATATTAAGTATTAAAATATATATTACTTGTAGCAATTTCCACAACTTGCTTTATTTTTTCTTGTTGTTTCATGCAATTTATTTGTTTTTTCACTCCACAGTACCTTGAGCGCGAGCTTAGAATGGAAGGTCTTCCTTTTCCTTATAGCTTTGAGGTTTGTGAAATGATGGAATTGAAGGTTGGGTCAATTCTTTTTGTGTCACGAAGGTCTACACAGTGATATGGGTTCATGGTTAGGGTTAGCATGAGGATTGTGGCTTACTGTTCCCATTGCAGTATGTCTTTGTGCTGGTGTGGGGTAACAAATTTCAAGTTTTGTTCACCTGATGCTGTGATCCTATTAGGGGTTGAAAAATTATGGGATGCAGGATCCTTGGCAGAAAAATTAAATGGGATATGAAATATTTAGAACAGACATCCTGGGATATTGAGAAGGATGAATTTATCTTGGTTTTTGTTTTTGTAATAAACCTCACGCAAACAAGGGAGTTAATCAGTAGATTTTATCACATATTTCACGGTTATTCAAACAAAAACTTACATTTTCCACGTATCAACATTGCCCAAATCCATTTGAAATAAAACAACTGCGAAAAAGTGTTGATCTTTCTCCAAAATCTGTTTTTTTTTTGTACCTCAAAACAACTTTTCGCCATACACTTCCTTCTAGCGGCTTGCAGTGTTTGTGGAATACTCTGAGCCCTCCATTCCCTCAATAGAGCCCCTTTTTTAATACAACCTGCATCTCGTTTCCAGGTTATTGCTTATTTCATGGACAGCAGTAGTTATTAACCTGATGTTGTGTTCCTTCGTTTAGCGTGCTCTTGATGACTGGGTATTCATGTGCTTCTTTGTAGGAAATGATTTCCTCCCACATTTGCCATCATTGGAAATCAGGTAAATAACAGCTGTGGATTTGTGTAACACGGTTGCTGACAAGTCAACGTCTTAATCAAGTTTTATCCTCTGGGGGGGGGGGGNTTTTTACTTACTCCATTTAGTGCTTAAGTTACACAATTATTCAATTAATAAAGTCATGATGCAGCCCCGGTATAAAAAGGATGGGGGGTGCTCATCGGAAATTATCAAAGGAATGCCTAAGAGGTACCGAAACACTGTTTTGTGGGTGTGGCTTTAAAAGTTGTTTCCCCCTGAGAGGTACCAATTCTAAAACAACATATTATCTTCTGTCATATTTGTTTTGGCTCAATACCCTAAATGGTACCACAAAAGCTCCTGCTTTGGACCTTTTGAGGCTGAACACGCTAAGAGCTACCAAAACATCTTTTTTAACCCCTAAAAGGTATGACAGGCACCCTGTCCCTTTTTTTATGGGAGTCTCCCCCAGGGTGTGGCACAAGATTTTATTAGCAATGTGAAGAAAAGCTCTTTTTAGCTAGAGATTATGCTAACTTCTGTAGTGGAACTTGAAAGCCTTGCGACAAAAATAAAATGGTGATTCTTTGCGAACAAAATAATCATCTCAGACATGTTCTTGTACCCAGTTGATCCACGTAGAAGCACATGATTACAAGTATTGTTCTTTTTCAAGAAAAAAATGATTTTTTTTTTAACTATACCTGTTTGTTTCTAGGGAAGGAGCTATAGATCGTCTGGTGGGGATCTACAAGCGAGTTTTACCAAGATGTGGGGTATGGACAATCATTGTAACTGATGATTTTGCGGTGTTTGTAAGGGTGTAGAAAATAAAACTCATTTTGCCTTCCGTTACAAAATACGAGCCGTGTGATTTGACTCTCCTTACAATAGTTTTGTTGTAAGCTCTTTCATACAGTTATGAAATTGAAAAATATATAATAATATTTTGTCGTTGTTTCCAGGGTTACCTGGCCAAGCATGGTATCGTGGATCTCAGCAGAGTTCAGATGGTACTTCAAGGTATGTTGAGTCAAACTGCTGATACCTTTAGAACCACAGTGCACAAAACTAAGTAGGAATGGTGTTAATGAATGTTAAAATGTTAATGAATGATAATGGTGACAGAGATTACCGTTATGGTATTCGTTCAATTATGCGCCTAACCTCTGTAGGTAAGAAAAGTTAATAAGCGCCTAGCCTTAAATAGGTACCCAACGCCCCCANAAAAAAGAATGAAGTACACAAGAGGAGGACATTAGACTGTCAGATATCAAGGAGGCAGCACCTGAGAGCTCGTTAGTTGACCTTAGTGACATTGAAATTGAAATTGACTAAGTAACACTGAGAGACTTCCCTGAAGACCGAGTGTTCTTTGCAAAATTCATGATGTTTATTTGTCTCTTGCATTTTAATTTTTCTGCATGTTTTTTCTGGATTTGCCTGTTGTTCGTTGTTTTCAATTCCACATATTTATTTGTGTTATGTAAGTTATTCTAGGGGACACCTATTGTATAAAACGTGTACATGTATATTAACTTACATATTCAAATTCAGTCTAGTTGTAACTGACGATGACAGAAGTTACTGTCAAAACATGTATTTAAAACTGAAAAGCGTCGTCCTTTTTCTGAAGTTTATTTTAAAGAAATTTTTAACGAACAGTTGAAATTCTGCTTTGGTACATCTTCACGTTTTGTTATTATTTATTGTTGGTTGCAAAATAAACTTACTACTTGCTGAAAATGGTGAAATTAATAAGCACCCAGCCTTGAATAAGCACCTATAATTATGTACCCTCAAGGTCCAAGAACTAATAAGAGCCCAGGGCGCTTAATTGAATAAATACAGTGTCACGGTAACATGACGTTCAGCTAACAGCTTTACATTCTCCGAAGATGAATCTTGTTGTCTACCTGGTACCTGTGTTATAGCCTGATTGTATAAATGGCAGCAAGTTTGAACAACAGTATGCAGTAAAACCTGGCAAGCATATAAATTATGTGAGAAATCATTTCATCTAGAAACATAGGCTAAGGTTTCCTAATGCATTGTTATTCAAATTCGGCTCAATTTATGTAATTGGTGATTGAGAGTATTACTTATAAATGTAATATTAATTTAGAGTTTCAGATTATGAAAAATTCTTTTTTTATATCTGTATAGAGCTTGGTTATGTGGAAGATGAGATCTTCAAGAAACGACAGGAAAATGATGTAAATATACCCTTGACAGTGTTGCTTTAAACACCTTGATTGCTTGACTAGTGTTACGATTGACCTCTTACTAATCAAGTTTGCAGGTGCGACTGGGGAATATTGGCCCGAGGTCGTGATGATGACCAAGGGCCATTATTTCCCAGGATGGCTTGAACAAGCTAGGTTAGTAAGTAGTTTATTATATGGCACTCGGGCCACGCTTTGTTATTGAATGTTCCAGCTTTCAAAAACAAAATATACACGGCTTATGACAGTTTCCATAGAAATGGCCCATATGGCAAAATCCCAGCCAAGAAAGAACCAATCAGACTGCTCGTATTTACCTCAAGACTACCTTGACAGTATAATGAATACTGTTATTTTTCCTTCCGTGTTTAACCTTTCTTTCTTGCTAAATAGAGACACAGAGAGATCAGATCTGAGTACGGTATTCTTCATGATAAATTCCACATTTTTATCACAACGTTAGTTCTGATTTTGGTGATTGTAAAGAGAATATCCCCCGGTTCATTACAAATGTAGATTCTTCCTTCTTCTTCTTATCTGTCAGTAAGGCAGTGTTGAATATTAGTTAACCATGGATGTGAATGGTATTTAAAGTTTATTGTTGTCTTATTGAAGTCTCTTCCATTTTTATAGCTAGCATACAAAAGACGGCTGAAAGCCAATAAAGAGAGGGATAGACAAAAAAGGCAAAGAATGGTGAGCACTTTTGTTTCTATTTTTACTTTTATTTTATCGTGAATCCTCTCGTGTAGTAATAGATTGATGTTTAGTTTTGTCTTATATACAGGATGCACCTCTGTGGACACCCAGTGGTCAGTTCAGTCCTCATGCCATCACTAACACCCCATCGCCTATTGTTTCACCGCGCCAAGAAGCCTATGCCATGCGACAACAAGCCATGTCTCACAGTTTCGGAAGCTCTCCACAAGATGTTGCCAATAAGGTATTATTTGTGATCAATGTAACGCAACTGTCATCTTTCTGTATGCATTTGGGAACTTTTGATTAATGAAGTTTGCCAAGAAAATCGTTTTAGGTGGACGCCCACCCCACCCCACCATGCATTTCACGTAATATTGTCGTTTTGTCCCATGATTCCACCTTGTTAAGATGACTATATTTGGGTGTAGAAGGGGATGAAGGTGAAAGTTAATTGTTAAACCCCCAGATTCAATTAATTTTGTGGAACTGTGTAAGAACAGCGCTGAAATTGTTTGGCTGGTATCGTAGCGTTTCCATTTGAATTTTGCTCGGCTGCAAACTTGGAGCAATAGTGTTGGATTTTCGTTGACCTATGTACAGCTGTTGTGGAGGCGTGGTGGCCTCATGGTTAGTGCGCTCGACTCCGGATCAACAGTGCCTCTCTCCACCCAGGTGTATAAATGGGTGCCAGCAAATTAAATGCTGGGGGTAACCCTGCCATGGACTAGCATCCCATCCAGGGGGGGACTAGAAATAGTCCTAGTTGCTTGTTCATGTTACAGAAACCGGAGATAAGCGCCGGCCTGATGGGCCACTTGGCTCGTATGCAAACGTTTTTCCATGTACAGTTGTAGGTATGGTTTGTGGAAAATCACCCATACTCTAAGTAAGAGTAACACAAAAAGGTAAACTCAACTGTTGCTTTGTTACTGTAGAGCGCTGCGGCAAACCTCAGAGCCATGCTTGTCACGCCATCACCTGGCGGAAACACGGTGAGTAACGGCCGCAGTTTTCATTCTTTGTACAAGAACAAACTTGGACCACAGTTTGGTAAGTTGTTCTCGTTGTCTTTTTCTCCAAAGTCTTCTGCAGCAAGTACGCCAAACTCGACACCAGCGTCCAACAAGAGGAAGCATGAAGATGAAGACGAGGAACCAAAAGATGATATCAGGTAAATGAAGTGAATATAATTTTACAGTCTCCTTCAGCACTGAATACTATACATTTCATCATGGAAGAGATTCAGATCCCTAGTCGCAAGGTGCTTATACATTAAAAAAAAAAAATTGGCAAAGACCAGTTGAGACGTTTTTACACGTTTTTTGCGAGGATAAGGAAAGATAGCAAGAGGCTAGCAAACTAAATAATGAACGGTGTGAATACAATACATTTTCTGTGGTTGAGTATGATCAGACAGTCCAGCGAATCGTTTACTCATTGGCTACGAGAACAAGGCACGTCCCCTTGTTTAGCTTCAACGTGGTATACAACGAAAGGGATGACCTTGTTTGTTTGTTGTTATTCAGGTTATGGGAAGCAGGATGGAAGGGCCGTTATTACCAAAATAAATTCCAGCTGTCTGAGAACGATGAGGGATATGATGACTTTAGAAAGAAAGTGGTGAGATTCTACAACACTATGATTTGAACAAGTTTTAAAAGTGTCTGCAAAATGCCTGTTAAGAATAAGATCCTATCCATTATAAACTGTCTAATTTTTTGTTGTAGGCCGATGCGTATGTGGAAGGACTTTGCTGGGTTTTGCTCTATTATTATCAGGTGCGTGAATTTGTTCCAAGCCCTCAGATCACCCAGGGCCGACAATTACTTAACGAACTGGGACTCTGGTATCTATCAGTTACTTAGTTGCTCACAAGTCTGCAATGTAAATACACTGACCCTAGCAAATGTCACATGTAGTGTCAAATGTAGTAACAAGCAGCTCCGGCCCTCCGTCGCAATGTTGAGAGAAAAACTTTCTTTTGTCGCAAGTCGTCCTTATCAACACTAGAGGAGGAAAATTAGAACAGAAAACGCCTTAAACTGTAGTCACCAGGCGTCGCTAATCAGCAAGCTGCTTCATCTTTCTGTTCAGTTTACGTTTGTAAATGGTTTGAACTCCGGAGTATCAGTAGTTCGTATAGTATGATTGACCTGTTGCTGGTGACTGACTCTTCGACAACCTGAGCGGAAGTCATCTTCAGAGTCAAGTGCGTTTGTGTAATCTTCATTTATCTTTTCTTGTCAGGGCTGCCCATCTTGGAAGTGGTTTTATCCATACCATTACGCACCTTTCGCTTCGGATTTTCGTGACCTTGCTTCGCTCCCCAACTCGTTTGAACGTGGAACTCAACCGGTAAGGAGAAAGTCAAGTAGTTTTATACATTCAGTAGCAACCTGAGCAGTTTTGTGGGTTTTTTTTTTTTGCTCCTTTTCTGCGCGTTCGCAACGTTTCCTTTCACTTAGCAATAAGACTGTGCCGGGAATTGGAGATTTCTTTCAGCTGAAAATTGGCGAGTGGTGAAGCTCAGAGTCGACAAACAGTGCTATTGTTTTAGCATAACCCAAGGGCTAAAACTGTTTTGTGACCATAATGCACAAACAACTGCGTGCTCTTTCCTACAACCTTCTATCGACCAATGGCCACTTGGTTATGCTATATGTCAAACACGAAATACCGTGTTTGACCACATTTTCCATACACCGAGAAGAGAGTTGAAAACACAACGCGCTGCGGAATATTTTTGAAGAACTTCGAGGTGTTTGGAAATGTGGTCAGACACTGTCTTGAGTGTTTGATATATCTTCTCATTCAAAACTAAAACTAGGGAGAAAATCGAGAAATAAAATCGTTAAAATCTGTGCCAATTAAGGTCAGATATCCAAACACAGTCACGGTCATGATTTCCTTTGTTTAAACTTGATGAATTATTAATGAGTTTGAGAAGCTAAATTCCGATATAATCTTACTTTTACAAACTTCCGTAAATTAGCCTGTTTCCCCCTCCCCCCACCCCCCACCTTCAGCCCCACCCAGACACTCATTTGTACGGTTTTTCATTGTGTTCATTTCAGTTCAAACCCCTGGAGCAGCTAATGGGAGTGTTCCCAGCAGCGAGTGGAAAGTTCCTGCCGCCAACCTGGCGAGTGCTCATGTCCAATCCGGTAAGTATTGTAACTGCTCTTCTCTTTTTATTCTCGTCATAACCTCTTCTTTTAAATTGCGGATTTTTATTTTCCACTTTCCTGGCAGGATTCGCCGATAATTGATTTCTACCCGCTGGATTTTGAAATTGATCTGAACGGGAAAAAATACGCTTGGCAAGGTGAGTTAGAAATAACAAAGAGAAATTTTATTTACTTTTATTGCGGAAAATAGTCGGACGGTTCAATTTGGTGAAGAACAAATTGTCGAGAAATGTCAATGTCTCTAGATAAAGAACATCTCGGCGTTTTGTAAGAAGTTATTTTGTGACATCAAATTTGAACGTGGTTTTGAACACTAGTAAAATACTTGAAGCTTTCTGTCTGGAATAAATATTTTTGTCCACGTGACCTTTTCGTCCTGGTGATTTTAGGAGCTAAGCTCATTGCGGTCACTTCGTCTGCAATGAATGATTAAAGGAGCGAACGAACGAACGAACGAACGTACAAACCAACCAACCAATGAACGAACGAACAAACAAACCATTTAACCAATGAGCGAACGAACGAATGAACGAGCGAGCGAACGAGCGAACGAACCAACCAACCAACCAACCAATGAACGAACGAACGAGCGAGCGAGAGAATGAACAAACCAACCAACCAATGAACGAACCAACGAACCAACCAATGAACGAACGAGCGAACGAACGAACAAACAAACCAACTAACCTATGAACGAACGAGCGAACGAACAAACAAACAGTGACAGGGGTTTATTCTGTGTCTGTTAAGTTGTTGACCTGATTGCCTCTCTTTGATGATTTGCTGTAACTGTAAAGGATTGTCATCCAGAATCTAGCTGGTCATGTTGTGACTGGTTAACCCAATTATTTATTAGATTTAAATTGCTCTCGCAGGCGTGGCTTTGTTGCCCTTTGTTGACGAGAAGAGGCTGTTAGCTGCTCTTAGTCAGGTGTACCCAGATCTCACGGAATTAGAAAGTAAGTTTGCTGTAGTAGAACAAAGTTTGTTGAAATCTTAAGCGCACTCTTTGTATGCTTTGTTTTCCCGCCACAAATGCGCCACTTGAGAAACTTCTAGGCGACTGAGTACCAAGCTTTCGGTGCTAGGATTACTGGGATAGTTTGAACGGTAACCAGCGCGGGATTGATTGGTAACTGTTGTCAAGGCAACCCTCGACCAATCATAGCTCGAGTTGGTTACTGTGCAACGAGTTTCGCGCTTCATGTCGTTAAGATAGAAGTTCTTTACCTCATACACTTGAGTTCTCTGAGCTGAGTTTGCTTTATGTTTTACCCATTTTAGTGAAAAGGAACAGCCGAGGTAAAGACCGCCTCTTTCTTCGTCAAGGAAATCCAATCTTCGACTTCTTTGTTGGTTTATACGAAGGAGGTGGCATCAAACAGGTAAAACCTGTTTCCTTTTACTTTACCGAGCCGTGACGTCAGAAATTTTGCTTTACAATAACAATCTGTTTCAATTTTCGCCAATTTTAAACCATCCTTGCACCTTTTGGTTTACCCTTTCTTCTTTAGTGTTCTTGTTTAGTTATGATTTATCCAATATTTTGAGTTTCGCTTGGATTTGAAGGTTTTTGGGGAATTTTTGTTGAGGCAGTGGTAAAGTCCCCAGTGAAATTCCCGATTGTTATTATCCAATCACAGAGAAGTACGAGCACTCGAGAATATACTGAAGTTATCCGAAAGTAGCTACACGATCAGCGACTTTGAGACGAAGATTTCGATTTCAGTCCGGTGCCGGAGAAAGGAATTCCCCATCAACTGGTACATGTTCAGCCGAAAATAATTTTGGCATAAACCCTTCGAGATTAACCCTGTTACCGTATTCTTAAGGAGACGTAGGGTTTAGTGTGGAAATGTATTCAGTACTGAATGACAGTGGACTTGTGAGCTAGTTAATGCACTGGGTTCGTTTGTGACATAACGTGAGTTTGTTCTGTTTTGTAGGCGGTAGATATCGTAGCAGATCTCAGCGGTGGAATGTCAGGAAAAGTAGAACCAGATGATGTCCCCATATTACCACACAAGTAAGAAACAACGATACATAAACATGAAGTCACTCAATTTTTCGTACGGATTTCTCGTACTAGGGTACTGAAATTTTAATCCGTGACGTTACAGAAAATTCTTAAACTGCATTCCCCCTTCGCCTAATCCTACCAAAAAAAAAATACATAGTAGTACATACTTCAGCCAGTCTTTGATTTTGCTTGCTTTTCCTCATCCCTGAACAAACGCGAAACAGCTCCTTTCTCATAGAAGCGACCATGCTATCGTTTATATACCATTTTGGTTGCTCGTTCTTCCTCTGGTTTTTCATCCTCGATATGATTGTATTTCGAGGCTTTTTTTCGTTCCTCTGAACTGAAGATGACCTTGCTGTTTTGACTGACAACACTACGTTACCTCGTTTCAGAACCGTTCCTTCTCCAATACCTCAACTTAAGGACTTGAGAGACAACAGAACCATAAGGTAACAGGTCCACAGAACACTAATAGGAGACTCGTTGCTTATCTGTTATTTTGAAGTTATGCTTTTCTTTTTATGCAAGATGTGTTCGTTTTCCCATGGGACGGGGTCTAGGGCTTCTGAAATGGGAGTTACAAGGGACAAGGGAGGGTGTGTTCACTGAATGGATTTTCCTGTCCCACTCTCTTGATGTACAAGGAGTTCCGAACAGGGGCGGGGGGGGGGGGGGG